AGAGTCGTAGACAGAGAGACATAGACTTAGGCATAGACAGAAAGACATAAACTGAAAGACATAGACAGAGAGACATAGACAGAGAGACAAAGAGTTAGAAATAGACAGAGAAACATAGACTTAGAAATAGACAGAGAAACATAGATTTAGACAAAGACAGAGATACATAGACGGAGAAATTAAAAACAAAAATAAAATAATGAAATATAGAGAAAAAAGTTAGCAAGATGAAGGGAGTGTACGAGAGAATTGGGAGTTTGTTAGCATGTACGTTTGTGGGTTTGTATGGCTACCTGCATACATTATGTGGCGTGCTGTGTAAATTTATGATCTGGTCTGTTTATTTTTAGAATACCAAAGTGGGTCGTTCGCTTGTTTTATGTTGGTGCCAACAATTTCTTTCCTGCCTGTGAGATGCTCGATGCAGCACGCTAACGTGTGCCGCTGTCATGTTTAACTCCTTTCTCTTTCCATTTCATAATATTTTTTTATAGAGGTTTCAAAGTAAAAGCAGCTGAAAACATCCGCAGATCGTAGACACAACAATCGCTCATTTCGTTTGTCATATGCGCATTTTTTTTCTTTTAAACTTTCTTTAAATTTAAAATCATTCCTTCTTATGAAACCGCACTAACCATTTAATAAATAACCATTAAAATTCATATACTACCCAGGAAAATATACAAATATATGAACACCAACTTAGCAGCAGAAAAAACAGAAGAATGTTCGTGTACGCACCACTTGACAAATTGAAGTAATGCTTCAGTTTGACGGGCCTTTTAATAAAGGCATACAGCGTTGGTCGGTGTTTGTAGAGAGGTGCTGGGCTCTGCGTTCTGGATTAGATGCAACAGTTCCCTGACTGTGCAGTTGTTTGTCCATGCAATCTCGTTAATGTTGCAAGGTATGCGTGTGGTCAGTTTTATTTAGAAATTCAGTTATCGAGTTGGTTGATTTGCATCAGGTGGATTGAATTCTCGATGTTTTATACAGGTTTTTTGTAATTTTTGCCAATCTGTAATTGTTTTCTAATCAATACGTGATTCAAGTTTGAATAATTTCTTTTTTGTCTTGTGTTCAATAGCGTCTGTGAAAATTTAAAATAAATTGCATATAAATGCTGTTTGCAAGGATTTGATGAATTGTTGCAGATAAGCACATACGCATAATGATTGACGTCGTTTGTTATAAAGTTGTTTATAAGGACATCACATGCGGAATGATTTATATATAGAATTTAAATGCTTCACCTTTTTTGTGTAGACTCGTATGTTACCCTCACGGAAATGGGCAGCACAATCTTTCACAAATCCACACGAGGTTTCGTGAGAAATACAACCGACAAGCCAAACAACCATTCAAACAAAATGTTCATCTAAACGATTGAGCCATTCAACCAAGCAACCAACCAACCAATCAACCAGTCAGTCGACAAAACTACTGAATAAAGCTATCAATCAAATGACCAACCAATCACATAGTCAAATGGTCAACAACTCTACCAATCCACTCAACTACCATTTAGCCAACCAAAAACTAACCAACCAGCTGACCAACCAATCAGCTGACCAACCAACCAGCTAACCAGCCAACCAGCTGACCAATCAACCAGCTGACCAACCACCCAGCTGACCAACCAACCAGCTGACCAACCAACCAGCTGACCAACCAACCAGGCGACCCTTAGATAGCGGGAAACCTCAAGGTAATCCCGCTGCATAATTCTTCCAAAATATTTGATATATTGTATATATGGCCATCGGTATGCGTTGATATGTTTTTCTATTTATTTATGAACCTGTGCATGTGTGTGTGTGCTTGTCTGTATGTACGCGTGTGTGTTTGTCTGTGTGTGCGTATGTGTGTTTGTCTGTATGTGTGTGTGTGTATTTGTTTGTCTGTATTTAAAAAAGTCAAAGCCTGAATGTGCGTCATCCAGCATAGTAGAATACATCGGGGAAAATATTAAAAACGCAGAGAGTTGCCAGTGTAGAAATAAAAAATACTATATCAAACAAAAATAGAAGAAGAAATGAAAAAGAAATAAGATATACGTATGTGTATTATTATGTGTTTGTGTGTGCGTGAGTGTGCGTGAGTGTGTGTGTGTGTGTGTGTGTGTGTGTGGTTGTGTGTGTGTGTGTGGTTGTGTGTTGGTCTATGTATTTTGTTGCAAGAGTAAGTTTCATTCAAATTAACCCCAGGAGTGTTATTAATGAAAAAGATTAGAGTCCGGTTCGAATATAAATTAGCGTTATTATCCTCTGATTTTAACGCGATCCTTAGATTATTATTGGAGGAAAATTTATTTTTTACTTTTACACATTACACTTTTACACATTATCTAATTTATTTTTAGATTCTTGTTATTAATTAAGTATTTAAAAACCATTGACCAATCATATGACCAACCAGCAACAACGGACCAGCCAACTGACCAACTAACCAACTGACCAACCAACTGACAAACAAAGATGGAATGAATTTTCTCAACAGCTAGGTAGTAATTCGAGTAGCAGGCATGTTTTCAGCTTATATTTTTAATTAAAAACATAATAATGTAAATACAGACAAATTATTGTTATATTGCTCACTTTTCACCGTTCTACGACGGTTTCTGAACGAACAACATAGTTTGTTCTTGGGGAATTCTTTCTGTTTCTGTAAACTCGCTTGCTCAACTTAAAAAAACTCGATATTGTTCATGTATATAAAATAATGATAGATGACTTTAATTAGCGATTTACGTGTGTTGAGTATCAGTTAGTGTTTACAATCTTATTAATCGAAATCAAACGAAAATGTCTTAGAATAGGTTGAGCCTTAAAAGTGTTTAAGAGATAACTGATAACTCTCTACTTTACTCAAGTGCTCGGCTATTATATACCAGAAGACCTTGTTCCATAGAGCTTAACTCGTTGTCTCATTCCTTCTAACCAGTCAGTTCCTATCGTGTGTCACCTCATTCTTATTATACAAAGTATTAAGTGCTCTGATTAATTATACAATATATTATCTTATATTAAGCTGCTTTATGTCTTTAAATTTGCTGTCTCGTCGTGAACCACTATTATAACTTAACTATCATTATAATTGCTTACTATAACACATATCTATATACAACCTCTATTTTTTTATACCTCCTAACCTAAATTATCATCTACATAATAAAATATAAATGGTTGTCTGTGTATGTCTGTGTATGTGTGTGTGTAAAACTGTGTGTGTGTTTATGTGTATGAAAATGTATGTATGTGTGTTAAACAAAGCTTGATAAAAGATTATTTAAAAAACTTTCTTAATTATTTTGACGAAAAAAAACATTTTTTATATATTCACACACACACACGCACATTTATACTCATACACAAGTGTGTTTGTTCTTGTCTCCATGTTTATATATTTTTGTAATTAAAAATTTGTTTCAGAGAAGAATTAGTTTTCTGACTTGAAAAAAAAATGTTGAGTATAAAAATAATATATAATTAAACCACGTGGAATTTGTGTGAGGACAGAATATTTCAGGGCGTTTGAAGCTGGATGTCGAGCGTTTCGACAGAAAAAAAACTACATAATAACACCATACCAGACACACACATCACAAACACACATACACACACACACTTACGTACAATCACACATACATTAGCACACCCACCCACACACACTTCAACACACTATCACATACATGAATGTGTATAGTAAAATCATTAATAACAAAGATAACGATCCTTAATAACATTTATTAGGAATGTTATCGTGCTCGCGGTGACATGATATTAAAGACAGCAAAAATGATGACGACGAAGATGATGAAGATGAAGATGATGAAAATGATGAAGGTGAAGATGACGACGACGAAGAAGAAGATGGCAAACATGATGAGGACAAAGAAGATGATGACGAAGATAATAATGAAGAAGATAATGATGAGGAAGATGATAAGGATGAAGATGATGACGGCGAAGAAGATGATGATGAAGGTTATGATGACAAAGATGATGATGACTGAGATGATGATAACGACGACAATGATGATGTAAATAATAATGGTAAAAAAATAATATGTTCCTCACTGTTTATTGAGAAAGGTAATTATACATGGCAGGCCTTCAGTCAGCGGACATTGATAAGTGGTGATGATGACGATGACGATGATGATGACGATGATGATGACGATTCCACGATAATAACGACGATGATACAGATAGTAATGATGACGATGATAATGATGATGACGATGATAAGGATGATGACGATGATAATGGTGGTAATAATGATGATGATGATGATGATGTATGTGAGTATGATGATAACGACTATGTTAAGCCATGATTAGCCGTGATATCTTTAGATAATGCTATTGCTATATGTTATTTATGATTGACTGAAGTTTTGAGGTTTTTTTTAGTGAATAAAATAAAAAATATAAAAGATTTTTTACAAAAATTGATAAAAATTGTACAATTTCATTTGTCAAATTTTTTTATTTTATTCAATCTTCATTACAATCATCATTGACCATGTAGCAATCTTAGTCTTTTGATGAATTTTCAATCGTAGTCTTGATTACGTTCATTTTTTACTCACAATACAATATCCTTTACAATAATTGCCATCATTATCTTTCTAAAATTATCACTAAAAATCGTGGGAATATTATAACGAAAAATTTGTTCATCATCATCATCATCATTATATCTGTTGTGTCATTTTCATCATTATATAAGCAACATATTCATTAATTATTAGATCAGTCAGCGCCACTATTTTTTAGCGGTTGTCGCAATCGCCACAATTTTTTCTGTGGTCGTCATAATCGCCACCAATTTTTTTGTGGTCCGCATCATAACCACAAATTTGTGATGTGGAAAAAAGTTATTCTATTTTGGAGAGATATCATTTGTGAGGTATTTTCATTGAGATGTGCAAGCAGGCAGAAGCAGTATTACACTAATTCTTTCTTCCTCTTAATTTATTAACCCCTGCAAAATTAATCACAGCAATGGATCACCGGACACATGTTTGCTTGCATGCTGCTGTTTGCATGGTCATTTGTATGGTCATTTGTATGTTTTTGTAGTTTGTTGCTGTTGTATTCATGTTTGTATGCGTATTAGTTTGTGCTTCTTTGTTGTACTTATGTGTACATGTTTTTGTGTACAAATGCGTACATATTTTTAACCAGTCAAAAAAATAGAAGAGCATTTTGAAAGATTTTAAATTTTCTGCTGTTTTGTCGTAACATTATTATTTGAATGAAACTTTCATCAACATTTCAACTATTGTGACTATTATCATGATTACGTCATCATTACCAACGTCGCTACATCATTATCATGATCATATCATTATCATCATCATCCTCATATTTTGCGCCTTCTTACATATTAACCGTCCTTGACTTTGTCACATTTGTACAAGTTACTCCCATCAAGAATTTCATCATTTTACCGCCAAAATCATCACCATCATTATCATCATCATTCACCGCATTCTATTATCATCATCATCATCATCGCTTTGCCAAAATCATAATCATCATTGATATTATTATCATCATCAACTAACTCATCATCATCATCGTCGGCATTGGCTTCAAATGTTCATTCCTCTTACACAAATTATGTGAGGAAAATTGTTTTACACCACATGTCAACCTACTGATGCTTTATTAATTTTACCATCGCTATCATCATCATCATTATCACACCATCACCATTATCATCACCATCATCTTTGTTGATATCATCGTATTAATCATTCTCAATATCATTTTCAGGCTTCGATCAGTCAATTAGGAACTCGTTAAAATAAAATTTTTTGAAGTAAAAGACTTTAAGAACCTTTCATTATCTGTATATTGTCTTTATCTTTTATTTAAGATAAGTTATTCAGAGCTGCAGAATATTTTTTTTACAATTTTTTCACTATTTTAACCATCTTCATTAGCGTGGTGTATCGCCATCATCATCATCATCAGTGACGTCATGCATACGTCATCATCGTCATCACAGGCAGACATGTTATTAATGACGCCATTAATTTTTATAGTATTGTTAAATCTGTTACTTTTATACTGACATCGTCACCGTCGTTATCATCATCATCATCATCATCGTTGTCGTCATCGTCAACAACAACATCAACATCATCAGTATCATTATCATCACCATCATCATCATCATCGACATCAATAACAACATCATCGTCGTCATCATCATCGTCGTCGTCATCATCATTATTATCATCAATAACAACATCATCATCATCATCTGTAGCATCATTTTACAAGACCTTAAGTAAGCTTAGCCTTCCCTTAGCAAATGGAACAAATAAATAAGAAAAAGCGACTACCATTATCATCATCGTCGTCGTCATCAGTGACGTCATATTCATCGTTATCGTCAACATCGTCGTCGTCATCGTCAAAATTGTTTTCATCATCATTAGCCGTGCCTAGATGATTTCCGTCGTCTCTAACTTAATGTCACCATTATTTTGCTAGCATCATCGTTATTATTCGTATTGATGTCATCATTAACCTACTCATCTTTATCATCGTCGTCCTCGTCATGTAACCATCTGGTACATCACAATCGTCAAGTGTGACGTCATTATCTGGTTAACTTCATCATCGTCATCATCCTCATAGACAAAATTAACGTCAACTGTACGTTTTATATAAACTTGAGACAATAAATATTAACAAATTTTTCATTATTATTTTCAACAAATATAATCTGACTTCATTTTTAAAATCATACAACGCTAGCTTACTAACCGTGTTAAGCACTACAGACCACAAAATCGCCATAGCTACCGAAGCGACAGTTGGTATGAAGACGACAAAGAGGCAGGCTATCTTGGCTTTGCACGATTTTGACATATATTTGTGGCTGGACGAGTTGTTGATGCTACTGCTGTTGTTGCTACTGCCGTTACCGCTACTGCCTGATCTTTGTGTTCGCTTGCAGTTCCGGTAGAGACTTCCACTACCACCACCCGAATTGTTGTGGCCGGTGCTGTTGCTGCGCTGTTGAAACATGCTGCTGACTTGTTGCATGTTGTCGTCGACGTTATTGTTGCTCTTGTCGTAAATGTTGCTGTTGTTGTAGCGGTTGTTACTGCTGCTGCTGTTTTTGTTGTTGTTGATGTTGTTGTTGATGTTAAGGATGTCGTTGCAGTAGTTGATGTTGTTACTGGAAAGTGGAGAGCTTTCAATGGAGATGGCTGTTTTGAAGTACAATAGTGTGGCCGGAGGAGGAGGAGATGGAAAAGTTTTTGTAGTTGCTTTGGTGGCTGTCGTCGACGTTTTCAAAATCGATGTTGGTTTTGTCGTTACTGCTGTTGACGGTTTTGTTGCGGTCGACGACTTTGCTGCAGTTGACGAGTTTGTCGTTGTTGACGAATTTGTCGTTGGTATTTTAGATTTGAGTGAGAATGATGTATTCATTGATCAGTGCCCGTGCAGTACAGATATCTTTTATCAACGGTGCTGTCTATTAGCGTGACTGATGTCGTTACGACGATTCTCAACTATCTTTCTCTTGGTGTTGTTGTTTCCCTTATTGATGTTGCATCAGTTGATGTTGTTTTCTTTGCTAGTGAAGACATGGCGAATTTGGTCGCCGTAACTCTCATTGATCGTAACTGAGAAATATCGTTGTGGAATATCTTACTACTTGGTTTGGTTTACTGTGTGTATTTGAAAGCCGTTTATGCCGTATCAACATCATGTTCTGTACTATAGAACCTGATGTTGGGATTCATTGTTTTTAATATCTGTCTAGTTGTTGTTTATAAGGGAAGTGTTGATGTTACTGCTAGTGGAGGTTGAAATATTGTTGTAACTGTTTTTGATGTTGATAACTTTACTGTTGTGGAATTCATTTGAGAATGATGTGTGTCTTGTGATGTTAAATTCTTCTGACGATGTACAAACCCAAGCGTTTTGAGGTTTTTGACTTTTTTCTGTTTGTTTTTATTTATTAAAAAGGGTTATTATTTATATATAATTTTTCATGCGGTTGTTTGTGTTTTTCATGTTGATAATGTTTTCAAAAGCGTGTTCGATTGTTGTTAATAAAGCTGTCACAATTGAAAGATTTAAGATCACCGTATAATGTTAGCGTAGATTTTTTCATACGTCATCTCAATTTTTATGAAATAAAAATAATTTCGCAATAAATTTTGAATGCTTTTTCAATAATAAAACGTCATTAATGACTTTCTGGTGTTTATGTCAAGTGCTGATTTGATGAACGTCACGTGTAAAAAATTTACAAACATTGTCTATATCCCTTCTAGAAAAAATTCAACGATGATGATGACACAATGGTGATTGTGTATTTATAATGATAATGGCAGTAACAGTTGTAATGATAAAAGTACATGCTATATTGAGAAGTGATGACGATGATGATGTTTGTGTTAATGTTTTTCAGATGTTAGTAAATATTTATTGATTAAAATATATTTGTCATCCATGAAAACTCTGCATTTTATTGGTTCAGTTTATCTATCTTGACATTAATAACGATAATACCATTATTATCTATATTAATAGTTATTTATTTTTATGTTTTTCTTTTTTGTATTTCATTATTTTCCGCGGTAAAAATTAAACTCTCAACTAAGAAAATTTATTGGAAAAATCTTCTCAAGCCGCAGTTTGCAAATAAATCATAGTTTTCCATTACTTATAGGCTGCATATGAATGCTAATAAAAATTTTCCGACTCTAAATTATCGTTTGTGTGTGTGTGTGTGTGTGTGTGTGTGTGTGAGTGAGTATATGTGAGTGTTAATGTGTGTTCTAAATTTGGGTCATCATGTTTTATGTCTTTCATCTCAAGAATTACGTGTAAATTGAATTTTTTTATTTTTCGTTCCAAGAATTTATTTTATTGCACTTTTTTTTAATAATTTTTCTCAGTTCCATTGTTTTAATTTTGAAAAATTGTTGAAAAGCTGATGAAAAATTCCAACTAGTGGAAAAAAATTATGACACAATGTAAATGAGTCAGATCCAAGAAATATTTAACGCCAAACTGAAGAATGATAACACTGTTGCAATTTTTACTGCCTCAACCACTTGCTACTACTACTACTACTTTTAATACTACTACCACTACTGCTGCTGCTACTACTAATACAAATGCTACAATTGATACTACAACTGCTGCTGTTGCTAGTACTAATCCACTACTACTAATAATAAGAATAAAAAATACAAATAATATTGAAAAAAACATATCAAACAACTCCATATACGAGATGAAATAGGCAATGCTGTGTTTCCCGGTCCAGCCTGTTGATATTAAAAACGATGAAAAAAATGATCAAGTTGGGAACCGGTTAATAAAAATGTATCAACGCTATTGCTTTTATTAGTTTCACTTTTTTAGGCCTTAGTTTTTTAGACCTTAATCAATGTTTGTTTGTTGGTCTGTCTGTCTGTCCGTTCTGTCGTTTGTTAGATCCCTTTAAGGATTGTTAATACTTAAGCCACAAGTGGTGATAAACAGTGAACACGCATACAAGTATTATACATAAGGTTAAATAGATGAATAATCCAACAGGGTAGCCAACCAACGAATTGGATTTTCAGTTTTGTATGGGTGTTAGTTGCACTGATTTTCGATAAATATTTTCAAGTTTGTATATGTGTGTGTACGAAAGTGTGCGTATGTGTCTGTGTGTGCGTTTGAGTCTGTGTGTGTGTGTGTGTGTGTGTGCGTTTGAGTCTGTGTGTGCGTGTGTATTTGTGGTGCGTGTGTTGTTCGGTGCTTTATTTTTTCTAGCGGATGTTTATGCAAATATCATTTTAAAACAAGGAATATAAAATATAAAACGTTTATAATTCTATGTGTGTGTATGTTTGCGTAATTATAGCTGTGTATGTGTGTTTTTGTGTGGCTGTGTATGTGTGTTTTTGTTTGTGTGTGTGTGTGTGTGTGTATGGATGGGTGGGTGTGTGGGTGGGTGTGTGTTTGTGCGTGCATACCTGGTTGTTGACTGGTTGGTTGGCTGGTTGGTTTGGTCACATCCCATCACGATCTTTATTTACACAAGCGTTGCCATTCAATCAACTCTGTTTGCGCAATGAATTGTTTTATTTGTTTTCGCAAATGTGTATCAACAAAATAAAATGCTACTCAAAACTTTTCATTTTTTTCCATATATTGGAATATTTTGTTTCAAAAGTCAGCTTGAGTCATTCAATAGTTCCCCAGTGTAGCAGGTTTTAAGATTATTTCGTTATGTTGTGTTGTATATTTTTTTATACATAGTTATAGTGTGTGTGCACGTGTGTTTGCGTGTGTTTGTGTTTGTGTAAGTGTGCACGTGATTTCGTTCTTGCTACGCTACGTGAAATACAATTTTATGATAATTTGAAATTTGAATTTGTGAAATTTGATTTAGCACGATTGCGTGCGTCATGGTAAGAAAATTATGGTTTAAAAGCTAAAGTATTTAAAAAAAGAGATGCACACACACACAAATGCACAAATTTGGGTTTCAGACTGCAAAAACTATGTTGGTAGAGGATGGTTTTTGAGACAACTATGATGACTATATGTCGGGGCATGTGGTATGTATGTATGCGTGTGTTTGTGTTTGTGTGTATGCGTGTGTGTATGTATTTGCTCTGAGACAGTGTTTGTTGTTTACGTGATAAGGTGCTTTATAACGTTAAATAAGATAGCATATCTATTTAAAAAATGTGTTTCCGAAGAGAATGTAAGTTCTATTTGAAAATTTTAACCTTCTTGAAAAATTTTGTTTCGTTTATGCCGTTGAGAAAGTCATAAATCAACTGCAATGATGTCAAGATTTATAAAAAGAATTTCACAAAAATTTTTTTTAGTAAAATTATTTTTAACGCATATTTAATATTTAATTAAATGTTATTATTTTTTCAAAATAAAATTTAATCAACGTTTTTTAATTGCTTAATTAATTGTTGCAATTTATTTCTTCCTGTCGCATCTTAATTGATTTATCATTTAAGTTCAACTATTAAGAACATGAATTTAATTAAACTTCATCAAATTTCAAAATTTCGTTTTAAAAAATTACTACATTTTGTACCTTGGAGTGAATTCAACATCCTATAAGCATAAATGAGTTAGAAACTTAGAAAATTTCATATTCGTTAAACCGAATTCAAGAGTAAATAATCCTTTTTTGATAAATATTCGTAACAATGGTAATGAAAAGGGAGAGTTTCTTTATGATTAGTACACACACAGCTACACAAATTTAGAGTTTACATTACAGAAACAGTCTTATTATGCCTGAAATTTTTGCTATTCATGACGGTCTTCATAACGGAACGGAGTTGAGATTAATAAGAAGGCAAGATGAACATATTAGAGTTCGTATAAGAAGTCATCTTGTATAACAGCTACAAAACGATTATAACACACATAGCATTTATAAACGACCAACAATATGAGCATATTTTGTTGTTAATTAATATTTTCTAAAAATAATAATAACAAAATAAAATTCATTCAAAAATTGTTAGCCATTGAATAAAAAAAATAATTCATACTAGGGGAAGCCCTAAACAAGAATGTATAAACAACTGTACTGCATATATTTGCAAGTGCGATGTAGTCAAGTTATGCGCGTTTGTTTTGTGTGTGTGTGTTTTAGTACATGTGTGTGTGTGTGTGTGGTGTGTGTGTGTGTGAGATGCGTGTGTGGTGATACAAAATGTGTTGGTGGTGTATGTGGGAAAATAATAGAAAAATTTGTTGGTTTGTTTGTTGTATGCAATATAAATCGGTCTTTTATTTAATAAATGTTGATACCCTGTATTAAAATAGAAGTGTATATGTTAGCATGTGGATGCGTGAATGTGCGTGTATGTATGTGTGTATATGTGTAACCGTGTGTGTATGCATGTGTCTTTTTATAAGTCTGTGTTTGTGAGATGATGAGCATATTTAAGTTCGAGCAGTTGAATTAAAGTGCACATTTTATCAGATGAGATAGAGATTTTTACACGGTTGAATGGTTTCGAAGTTTGCAGAAATTTTTGTAGAAATGTTGAATATGTGTATGTGTGTATGAAAGAGAGAGAGAAAGAGAGAGAGAGAGAGAGAAAGAAAGAAGGAGTGAGTGTACAAAAGTAAGTGTGTATCTGTGTGTGTGTGGTGTGTGTGTGTGAGCGTGATGATGCAAAGATAAATGTGTGTGTAAATGCAAATTTATTTGTGAGTCTGTAATTTTCTGTAAGTGTTTGAAAATGTTTGTGTTTGTGTGTTCATCTGTGTGTGTGTGTGTGTTGGTGTGTGTGTGTGTTTGTGTGTGTGTGAGTGAGTGAAAGAGGGGAGAAAAAATGAGAATGCAGATTAACTGATTGATGGAGTGTGGTTACTATTCATTATTTCATTTGTTAAATGTAACATGCCCCTGTCTTTCTGCTGTTACATGCATGAGT